TTATTCAACCTTATTTACTAGGTGAGCGCTATAGCAACTACCAACAGAAAGAGAACATAAGTCTAGGGGCAAAAAAAAAGAAAGGATTTCACCAAAACGAAGGATCTGAGCAGTCTTAGTACTGACCCTTTGAAAAGCTCTTGTTACATGACTCCATAAAAATTTTCATGATACTATCCCAGTAGACTATGAAGCTGGGGAGGGGAAAAGCATATGGGAAGCACTTGCCAGAGAGTCATTCATTTAATAATTTCTATTTATCTATTCATGTAACTACAGAGCTAATTTAATGCTGTTTTGTTTGTTTTGAAGGCAGCAAAGTTATACCTAGAGACTGATTCTGTCTTTGCCAGCAATTTATTTAGCTGTAGAAATTATAATAATTTCACAAGTCAATAGCGTACAGCATATCTCTTTAACAAGCCAGTAAAGAAATAACATACTCCAAACAAATGACAGATTAATCACACTATTGATCCAGGCAAGGGGAGATGAAGGGACAGTGTTCAAATTTAATATGAGGCGTACCTTTTTATAGGAGGAGGCCCTTCAGGAGAGAAGGCAGCCAACCAAGAGCTGATCTCAAACAGAATGTTGCCTGTTGCTAGAGCAGGTTGCTAGGGAATGACGACAGGAAGACCCACTGTGACCATTCCAGGAGTCACTCACGAAGACAGGAGCAAATGCCCCCAAGGAGTTTTGAGGCCAGGGAAGAGTCAGTCACCTTGCTCAAGCCAAAACTCCAGTAGTCCTCACAAATTCTCAGTACAGTTAACCTTGAACAATGTGGGTTTGAAGTGCGCTGCTCCACTACATGTGGATATTTTTCAATAAATGCAGTTGGCCCTCGACTTTTGCATCTGTGGCTTCAACCAACCCTGGAAACAGTATCTTTGCATTCCCAACCGCAGTTTCCCAACTGCGGACTCCCAACCTCAGGTAGAAAATACTGTTTGAATCCCTGGATGCAAAGGGCCAACTCTAGTTAAGTTTTTGTGGTGTCAAAAGTTAAACACAGATTTTCAACTGTGCAGGGGCTGGTGCCCCTAACTCCCACATTTCTAAAGGGTCAACTCTATTTATAGTCTAAATGTCCGCTTGCCATAGTTGCTCCTCCACGTTTTTATGGATAAGCCCCCATTGGGACCTCAATAGCTAAACTGGGTGCTTATCAGGGACATCAGATGAGACGATGACATCCTGACACAACTTCATCCTCATATCAAAACAGCTTCATTTCTCCCCCTAGCCAGTCTGCGGTTAGAGCGTTGGCCCAGGGACTGAAGGGTCCTGGGTGGATTCCAACCAAGGGCACTACCTTGGTTGCAGGCTCAATCCCGGCACGTGCAGGAGGCAACCAATCGACGACACATCGATGCTTCTGTCTCTCTCCGTTCCACTCTCTCTGAAATGCAAAAACAACTTTTGTCTTGTCATAAACAAGCGCATTGAAACTACTTGTCATACACAAATGGATTCGAAATCATATTAAACGAATACACAAGTGGTGTTCGTTTTGTAACATGGATTCCATTCCTCCCAAGAAATACTTTCACTGCCAATTCAAAATTCAGAGCTAAAAAAAAAAACCCCCTTCAGATCCTGTTCAGAGACCCAGTGGAATCAGGCTGCCCAGACTAGACGGTGCATTCACCCGCGACCGTGACGGTCAACCAGGTCACGCAAGAGCTGGGACCTGCCTCACCAGCACCATCTCGCTGGAGCGCGGGCACCTTTGCTCGTGGCCCGGGATCCCCAGCTTTGCCCAATTCTTGGCGAAGGCAGAGCAGGGCCCCTTAGGAGGGGAGAGCAGTGGGGAGCGGTGGCGAGCAGGGCGGGGATGCAGATGGTGCATCACACCAGGCAGGAGGGCGCTGGGCCCGCCGCGCCGGCGCCACAAACTCGCCGTGTCTGGGCCTCTCTAGGCATCAGCTTCCTCCATCTGAAGACACGGCGACGGGTCAGACGGTCCACTACGCCCTCCACAGGACGCCAGGCCGTCCCGGGGCCGGACGCGGGCTCCTGATCAGCCGTCCAGGCGGCTCACCCGGCCCCTCCCGGCT